ATTGCAATAAAACGGCAATTTCATACTTTAACCCCTAATATTAAACAATAAATAATACTACGTTTATGAAAGTGACAGTACGTATTATTCTCCAGAAGAATGCTAAATATCTCCCATTATACGAGTACATAATGAAGATTAGATTTGTTTTATCGGGGTCTACAAACAATTACACTTTTTTTATAATTTCAAGTGACGGGACGAATAAATCGTGCGCCTGATGATAAGCTACACGCCTGTCCGTAACAGTTACAGTGCCACTCAGAGCTTTAAATCGCATAGATCTGAGGGGCACTGTCACTGCGCCCGTCACCCTGGAATATAAGTTGACAAATCCCATTTGATGTAATATCACCAAGTCCCTTACCCTTCAAAACCGGAACACAGTAATGCTAATATTACTGCTTGGCGGCAGAAATAGGTAAGGTGTCAGTACTTACCCTGTACCCTGAACGAACTCTTTAACAAGGAACTAAATTACAAGTATACACATTTATAACTAACAAATAGTGATTTAATGAGTAATCAATAGGCACCGTTAACCACAGTTCACGTAAACAGTTTTCGAATTTCAGTAAATACTGCATTCTTAATAAATGGTGGCACTGCCTGGAAGCCTGCACTGCTAATACTAAATAAGGAGTAGGTACAATAATGTATTTATATGAAGGTACCTATAATATACAGATATCCCTCCGATAGACACAACAATATTACACAGGTTTACATTTGTGAGTAGCGAACAGGTGATGAGACCGTGATGAACGCATGTGGACTCTGTTTGGGACTTTGTATGATATACTGTTAACAATAACAAAGCAATAAAAATTAGGTTATTACTTGAGGGAGCCTTTTAGCAGGTCTTGGCGCCTTGACGCGTTTCCTAAGCGCCATTGGGTGGTTAATGGTGCGGGTATTGCTCTCCTGAGCCTGCAGGATCTTTCGGCTCTCACTCGCTGCCGACGCCATACTGGCCGCCTGTATTGCAAAAAGGTAGAAAAGTAGGTTGTAGTATATTAAACCAAGTACAAGGAAATTTAAAGTATTGGCAAATTCGTGTATATGTCAACTCTTGGAAGACTAATCAAATCTTTGTAACATCCAATATAATTCCTTAAAGTGTTTAATTTTCGCTCTCGTAGTACTTGCGCCACTGAGCTACCGAGGTCAAATTCATAATAACTTTATCATTTGTTCAAGAAATAGCAGAAGATTTATGAGTAAGTTTGTCCCTATCGAATTTTAAGGTTGTCACGATTGTTACATATAGGAAATAAATCTATTTTTTTCGGATTTAAATTGCATATATTTTTTTTTTTAAACCAACGTTTCGGGCGCTTTACAGGTCCCATGGTCACGGCTGACTGAGATGGTAAAGTCATCAACCAGTTATGTCTAATACTAATGCAAACCACCCTATTTTTCACTATTGTTGAAAAATTTATTAATTTAATACTTTACTTTTAAATTTTTCAAAGATATATTTCAATTTACGCTACATACTTGTTCTAATTTTGTTTTGAATTTAAAAACTTAATTTTATTACTAGTTAATAATGGTCATTAGAATCAATTAAGACATACTAATAATATTGCAGTTTTATGTCGGTTAGGGAGTTTTCATCAGAGGAAATATTGGACTCCAAACTGGTGGTATGGAGAAATCATCTTCCCTGTTGAAATTATTATGTTTTTTTAATTACAATGGCCTCTTGCAGCATCCAGGGTAGATAACGACATCGAGTCGGTTGACGTAGTCCCGATAGTCTGACTATATCGTTAGATTTCATTGCCGGGATTGCGCTGGGTGCGGCCGGACCATAAATGTTGGTGCAAAAAAGGCGAGGCCTATAGCCAGCAGTGGGTTAGTGTAGGCTGAATATGATGATGACGATGAATCGAAATAGGTACAAATTTAAAAGTTATGTTGTAAGTCTACATTCTAAGTATTTCGAACCATAACCCTTCCACATTTTATTTATTAAATCGAAATTTCAAAATTGAGATTAGTGGCCCTGGTTTTGGCATAGATACAGGTTCGAGTCCTGTCAGATCGAAGGAATTTTTGTTTGTGTTCGATCTTTGTATTTATAATTAAATATAACTGGTGGAGTCATTTCACAAAACATGAAACGAATATCATCATGATATTTAACAAAAATCAATTCAACACAATATTGTTAATCGAAAGTTTTGTTTATGTAATAATATTTTTTCTACTATTGTACTTTAATCTGTCAATTATAATTTTTAACCATATTTCAAAGACGCTCTCTTTAGCTCAGAATCAAAATTCTATTATCTATATATAATATATAATATAAATTGCGTTTGTTGTCCTGGATTGTTAACATATAGGTACATAAAATATTGGTTCGATTTCATTATTTTATTTACTCGTAGAAAAAGTATTGTTTGCAATCATACCTAAACACGGTACTCGGCTCTAAGAACTCACATTGCGCAACGAATGCAAAAAATACTATTAATTTGTTATTGCGATAATATTTTGATGTAAAATCTACTTTGATATTAAATTGATTGCTTAAGTTCGCTAATGAGTTCCCATATTGTACAACCTCATTTTTTCTTGCTGTGTTTATGATTGTACATAATTGAATCCCGGTTTCAATGAATTTTCTTCTTAACCAAGATGTAAGAGTAAGTAAACACGTTATTGTTTTCGTCGGACCAAAATTAATTAACGCTTCCTAACTAAGCAGTAGCACGTCAATCAGGGCGCGTTTCCCCGCGTGCCGGATGATGCATGTCCCCTTAAGGTCTAACACAAATAACCTAAAAGGTTTTTATTTGCCCTACGAATTAACCTCCGTGCAAATATTGTTTGATTATATATACGTGTCGGTTGAAATATTACCTATTGTTTTGTCCATAGGTAGCACATTAATCTAACAACAATGAATTTAATAATTTTCCATTTTGATTACGCTTAGTAAAATACTATGGTTCACATTCAACGGCTGTCAATGCAATTGTATAAGGTGCCGTATTACATTAGGGCTTGCCGGTTTGCAAAACGGCGCTGTTTTGTAATACGGCTCCCTCATATTCTGCCGGATTGTGATCACGATACGTTCTACGAAGCGGCAATGTTTAGCTATATTGTTCACATGGAAAATGTCGTGGCCGAGGTACTTGTCTGTTCGATACTAGAGTGTAATTTAAAAGCCGAAGGAGCGGAGGGAGCAGTGTCTGTTTTCTATAATACAATTTACAACGATGAATCTTGGTTTCGACAAAATCATAATTATTACACACTGGTTTCCGTGGTGGTATAAAAGATAACAAATGTATTTTAACATAGGTCAAATCGTGGTTGCGCCCACTATTCAGTAGGTTAGGTTAAGTTAGTATTTTATGAAAAAGCAGCAAGCGAATGTTTGCGTTTCCGAACATGTTTTTAGTGAAATCATAAGTATAATAATATAATTTACGATAAAAATGGCTAATAATAGTTTTCGGTAAAATGTGAATTAAGTTGGTAAAATAGTATTAGGTCAGTAAGATTTTTCGGAACTTTCAGTATTTTGTTCGGTTATTTTCGTATTTTTATTTTATATTTAACAAAAGTTTTCCTAGCTTAGTAAGTAATATAGCGAAACGCCACGTGCGATTACAATGCGGCGCACTTTTTTTTAGGCTAATGCAATCCGGCGGAAGACGAGATAGCCGTGCTAGAACACAGCGCCCTTTTTTAAACTAGCTAGCCGTAATGTAATACAGTGCATTATTGTATAAATGCAGTGACAACTACATAGCTCATTTATTATAACAGGTATTCGTTGTCGAATTAGGAAGTCATACGAAGAAATTCAATAAAAGTGTTGTGGATATTCCAAAGATTCGCATGAATCGTTACGTTACGCTTCCACATTTATATATGGCGAACAGCTATGGAGCGGAATACGTTGCCTGCAGACTTATTTCCTGAACGCTATAACTTGGGTCTATTCATTGCGAGAGTGAATAAATATTATTTAGGTGTGCATGTTCTGTCGTCAACCTCATTCGTCGTCACTTTTTATCAAGTGAGATGGAGGTCAAATACGGACTTATTTTTTTTATAAAAAGAACTCTTAAATGTAAACGAAAATAAAACGCGAAAACGCTCTAACACACTATAGAGATTCATCAGCTCTATAAATTGCAAAGGAAACAATCCGCCCGACTTTTAAGTCCTATGCAGGGCTGCCAGATGTGTACAATTAGATTCTCGTATCAACTTATAAAATTCTAGAATATATCTACCTGCATTCAGTATTATATTATTATAAACAAATATTTGTTAATGTTGAAAAATCGTCGGAGTCTACATCTCAGGTAATAAAATAGTACATTTGGTGGTGCCAGCAATAGTATATTTTAATCTAATATTCTCGTACTTTTACGTATAGGAATATATTTTATCTCGTACATCGTACATAAGTTGTACAAGATTATTCCTTCATCTAGCAACCCTGGTCCAAGATGCGAGAAGACCATTGTACGTTAATGCGATATTAAAATTAATCGTAACCCAGTGGTTGTCAACCTACGCAAGAACCCTGGGAATGCCATTAGAAGATTGAAAGTCAATTAACATTAGACGGTTTGAAGTCATATATTTGGTAAAGAAATATATATTTTAAACATTCACGTACAACTCCTACTAATTAATAAATTACGTACGGCTGTATAAGTATAATTATTCCGCAAGAGAGTTTAAATTGAAAACGACTGTAACCTTAGCAATTTTTTACATATATAATTTACTTACATTTGTACATAATATTATATATTACATAATATTACTACAAGAATTGAAATCATGTGGTCTTTTATATTGTACCAAATTTAAACAAAGGGAGATTACTTATTTCATATTCAAATCGTATGAACGTTCCTAAATAATATATTATTATAAATCGGCCTCAAATAACCATGAACGGTCTGACATTTAGACCTTACATAACTGAAATATTAATTGTACGACGAAATACAATTATTACACTTGAATAATACGTATTAAATTATTGTTGCTGGCTTGCACGAAAACTAAAAGGTAGGCGTCTGATATACGTCAGTTACTACGGCTTGATAAAGAGGTCCACAGACCCTTTGATAAGATCCTCGTAGTAAAATGTCCTTCAACGTTGAGTCGGTAACAGTTGCTAAGTGACTTTTAAGGCCCGTAAATTTACACAAGCCAAATACGCGTTTGCTTCAGTATAAGGCAGAATAGTAAACCTTACGCACGACTTACACAGACCTTTAGCGAAATTATATGGACGTCTCTACTTAAGATTTATTACAGAGATTCCGGTTTCGAGTTCTAGGTCGTTACATTTAATCTCCAACAGTTACTAAAATAAAACATTGGGAGGTCTTACTGATTTTTCGTAATTTTTCTCCCAAAAGACATTTTCAAGCCTATAAAGCGATAGTGATAAAAAATGATGCTATTATTATTATGTTCCTGGTCTTTCCGTCAAAGTAATTCATTCTATAATAGTTTGTCTTACGCCCCATTCAGCACGTGTTCTTAACAAATCTGCACGTGACTGTGTGTGTCCTGACCCCTATGAAGCAAAGCAAAGCTGGTAGTAATTCAGACATCACTAATTTCAGACAGACTCTCAGCAAATTATTTGGAAAAATGTTCTTAATCAGCCGCGTGCACATGTTTATAGTGGTAAATTAATATTCCATAAACACCTTGGGGACGTCCAACAGCCGATATTGATGTTGAGTTGATGAAACATACCCATATATTTGATTGATGGGAAGACTCTTATGACGCTATAGGTAAATTCTGTGACCTTTCCAAGTAGTGATAAAAGAAACTCAGTCTTTTAAGGCGTTTTATAACGACTCGACTCCATTTTACAGGACTCGACTCTAAAATTAAGACTGGGGGTTCGAGTTTTTATTAATAAGACTTAGTCGTTATACTAAAAGACTCAAAAGACTTAAACGATTTGAACGACTTGAAGGACTTAAACGACTCGAGCTGTTTGCAAAAGACTTATACCTATTTTATGTCCTATTAAACCCGAAGTTTATAAATAAAAATGACGTAAGTAGTATTTAGTAAATAATCACATTTATTTACTTATAATAAAAATCGTAAAATAAATACCTTGTGGGTAGAAATAAAATCAGCCATACGGCTCATGACTCGCAACTCCGGAGGCTATGAGGCGCCAGTCCTTTTAGTCGTTTTAGTCCTATAAGTCTTTTAAGCTTCCTTGGGTTAAAAGACTTCGACTCGAATTAGTCTTCAATTTTAGTTTTGGACTAGCCATGAGGCGTTGAAAATTAGTCGAGGTTTTTTAAATGGCCTTAAAAGACTGAGTCTCTTCATCACTATTTCCAAGGCATTTGATTCTGTACACTTCATAGTGTAAGTGTAAGTGTAATTACGAAGTATCATTACTTCGTAAGGAAACTGCCATTACTATGAGGAGGCTGTGACCACAATCTTCTTTAATCGTGTTTAAGTTATAATAAATTGTAGTGATTATAATTTTGTACCGTTGAGATTCGACTCTCTGCAACCTAGAGCGGCGAATCTCAACGGTACAAAATTATCGGAGTTTGTAATTAGCATGGGCGTCCATCAAGATTAATTTTTATTTTATAACAATGACTTACTTTTGTTTGCTGATGATTCTTCCTTATTATTGAAGATTATAAGGCATCTTAGTTCCTATGACGATGTGAAAAATACTATTTTAGGTCTTTGAGAGATAACTTTAAGGATTTTATATTATGCATACAATGACATTAATACATATATGAAAATGTAATTTAAGTTTATAAGAATAGTGATTATTTAATTAAAAATAGTTGCAGAGATAACATTAATAGCATAAATATGAATAGATGTTCAAGGAGTAGCTACTAGGGGAATTTGCCTCACGAATATGTTAATATAATCAGTGCGACGATTTGAAGTGTAATTTGTTCACCTGTGAAATATTAGTATTTCAATTTGTAAGTTTTTCTCGAGTTACTTGTTGTCTACGTGAGCTAAGTTATTTTAGGTTTAAATTGGCATCCAATTAAGGGGTTTAATCTACAATAGCATAGCTTGAATTGTATATATATATACTACTCTTTGAACTCTTTATGAGATTCTCCCCCACGGATTTATACTAGGTATAGATGCAAGGCGTACTTATGCACTAAAAACTGCATTTTATATTAGTGAAACGGTATTTAGGTTGAAGGTTTCTATTTATTCCTCTATTTTAATGACGAACGCATCCCGTACCCTTCCCGCAATACTTTTTTATTTTACGTAAACCCCAATAACTTAAGACTGATGTTTCGCAAGCCACGGATGGCAGAATCTTTCACACACTGACATAATGATAAACTAAGACGGTATAAGCTGGATATGTTTATCAATCCTTAAATATTTTAGCTATAAGGGAAATATCACCTTAGCCTCACGGTTACACGGTCTTATTTTACTTAAAAGAAAATCTTTATCACTGCTCAGTATGGCTCAGATTTCATTTCTTTTGGCCTTTCAATAATTCGCACTCTTAGTGATTTACGGTCACATCTGTAAAACGAGAACTTTTCAATGAGATGGGGCTTAAAGATTCTACTAACAGAATTAGTCGATAACTTTTTAATGGTAAAATTGAATTTCTTCCATGTAGTATGCATTATTTTTATCACTTTTATGTTTTTTTATAATACCAAGTGACGGGACGAACAAGTCGTGCGCCTGGTGGTAAGCGACACGTCTATTCATAACACTTGCAGTACCACTCGGAACTTTAAATCGCAAAGATCTTAAGGGCCACTGCGCCCGTCACCCTGTATATAAATTGACAAGTAAAGTTTCGTAATTGTACTCTCAAAACACATTTCAAGGCCTATAAAGCGATAGAAAGAAAAAATAATGTCATTATTATATATTCATGGTCTTTCCGTCAAAGTGCTTGTAATTTCACCAGTACCTTTACCTTTCCAAACCGGAACGCATAATGCTCACATTACTGCTTGGCGGCAGAAATAGGTAAAGGTGGCAGTACTTCCCTGAACGAACTCTTTCACAAGAAGTTCTACTGATATTAGATTAAAGCACTTTTGACGTACTATCACATGTGGGTTTATTATACCAGGAGTAACAATTCTCCTAGCCGTTCGATGCCACAAGTCAAACGTGTCATAAAGCACAGTGCGCTATCATGTTATCTGGCGGCGGGCCGTGAGCCATGGGCCAGTGGTGGAACATTAATTACGATTACCGAGCGATACTAAGGGCCAGGGCTTGGTCGCCACGCCCTCCCGCAGCACGCACCTACGGACTGCGCCACATATGCACATATAAGTACCTGTTTTCCTACAAGAACTTTTTCTAAATAGTTATACATACGTAATCTCAAATCGTTTTACTGAAGACTCAAACCATAAAACTACAAAATGATTTTTTTGATCCAAGTTGCGTTTATTTATTTTGTCAAACACACCAAACTTTTGGATTCTTTACAGGTGCCACAGTCATGACTGTCACATCGAAGCTGTAATGAACCGAACATTTGAGAACAAAAAAATGCGATTTATTACTCCCTGAGATGCAGATTGTGCTGCAACACAAACAACGTTCTGAAGATAATTGTGGGTAGGGGTGAGGGTCCCATCACCAACACTGGATAGAACTACTCAAAAGGACATACATCCATATCTGGAACTAACAGGTTTCGGAATTAATAATATTGTGCCCTCTTTTTTGATTTCAATTCATAAATATTTACTTACTTACTAACCTAATTTTAAGACAATTTTTTTTATAAAGCACACACTCAACATAGCCCCGCACTAGGGAAACCCTGTGTTGTGGGTCCCATGGACACACACATAGATAACCACAAATTACACCCAAACTTACGAGAGAAATAAATGTAGGCCATACAAATATTTCTCCCGGCCCGGGAATCGAACCTGCGACTTCTGCGTGGCAGTCCGGCATGGTAACCGTTCGGCCACAGAGGCAGTTTATTAAATAAATTGTTATTAATTAACTACTAATATTGCTATGGATGATTTCTGAAATAAATAATATTTTGCATGACAGTCAGCTGTGACTTTGGGACCTGTAGGACCTGAAAATATGGTTTGTTGTAATGTAGCAGTTCCTTCGCAATGCGTAGCGATCGCGGAATCCTAAGAACTCAATGATATATATGTATGTATAAAGAATTAACTGAGTTGGAATTTACAATGGGTTTAAATTGACATAACAGATTGAAAAACTTCACAGTTAGCAATAGGCAATAAGTAGTTACTTAGTAAAATTTTAAATATTACATATGGTAATATACGATAATTCTATCGATTGTTAGCCATAGATTAACACGTCCTGTGTCGTTTCAGAAAATCGTCTCGACCATAGTTGATTGGGCTACAGATATGGTACCTGTATGCTGTAAAGCGCACTGTCGTAGAGAACATGGAAGGTGAGGAAGAGCGAGAGTAGCGTGACGGAGAGGAGCGCCGCGGCGAGCTTGGGCCGCGACACCCCCACTACCAGCACGCAGTCCGCCAGCTCGCCCTCCGCCGGCCGGAACGACGACCGCGGCAACCATCTGACACCACAATCAGAATTCACTGTTCTGACACTAACTCACACATTATTGTATATCGATAGTTATTTATATTGACTACTCTAACTGACGGTATTGCATTACATTTTAAAAATTTTATTTATTTATAAGGCATCAATGAAATACTTTGCCCAACACTGATCTTAACCATCTCCACACCATCACCTCCTCTTTGGGGAGGAAACCCATACCCACTACGTTGGACGTGTTGAGTGGGTTGATTGATGATCATTAATATATGTAGGCACTAGTAAAGTTTATGGATATGATTGATGGTAGACAACTCACAGAATATCAAGCGGCAGAGACTGAGAACAGCTCCTATAGGTGGTCCCGGGGCGGTGCTTGCCGAGCGGGAGGTGACTCATCTGGGCGCGCGCCTCCATGCGTCTCCCATGAATACGATCTCGTCTACGACATTGTATCGCCAGCGGTCTACGCAATCACTCGAGTATTTCTTAAGTGTATGAAGAAGGGTGAAAAAGTGTCAGCTTCATTTTTATCTTCTTTTATGACTCTGCAACAAAATTTAACAGCTTTCCTTTCCCTACTTTCGTACAAAAGCTTTCAAAATAATAAGTGCGTTATAATTTCCTATTTTATTTAAGACTACAACTTACCATAACAAAGTTTCGCTCTGACTGCCGCTCTTGCGCCTGAGACAAAAGAAAATTTAATTATTACCTTCATATTACCTGCTATTGCAGTAAGTAATTTATAAATTAAGTACATATGTAGGTTAATTGCACCCCGAAATACGGAAACAGTTTTCACGCCTGCATTTTTATAATTTGTTAGGTGAAACTTCCGTTCAAAAGTTCAAACGATTTCCTACGACGTAAATTATCGTTTAGTCGAAAAGCCAAACTGTGAAATCACAACAGCCACCATGTGCTAGGATTGTTGATGACCTGCCGTACTTCGGTTTGTTTACGACTACAGCGAAATAAGCTCGCTTTACTCATCCACTTCTTGCGTGAGCCGTTTGAGCACTATAGCGTTACTACACCGCGAGAACGTGAGTAACGTAAAACCGCTGTAGTTTTATGATCCAATGTACGTAAGCGGTTATTAAATATTTTCAATTTTGGCGAGTGTTTTATATTTTATGACGCTTCAGGTCGTGCCTACCAGTGTTAATTTCGGAAACCAAATGTAAAATTAATGTTCAATTTACCCATAGATTAAATTGCATAAGTTTTTTAATACTAGTTACTTTTCTTTGTCTATTTGTTATACTTTTAAGTTTAAAATGTTATAACATTGTAGTTTTTAAGCTCGTTCATGTCATGTGTCTCGGCGAACTGAATAAATTTTTCTTATTCTAATTCTTATTACTTGAGAATCCTGTTTTATCGAACGTAAACTTTTACTATACGAACCTTATATCATACCCTGTTTTTTGGTATTTGCAGATCTGTCTTATCAACTGACAACTATTTCTGATCGTCAGTTACACTTATCAGTGTATAGATTTGTTTTGCAGTAAATCTTAAATAGGAGAGAGCAAAAAGTAATGTAGGGATAAGCCATGGTTACTTTTTAGTTGCGCAACAATATCTCACAACACTTGCAAAGTGTTGTGTGCGTATAAGCAATTAAAGCAACAAGATGTCGAAAACGGTTTCGTACTTTGTTATTGGTATCTAAAATCTAAAATTTAAATATTTCAAGCCCACTTGTACCACATTTAATGCAAAAAGTGTCGAATACTCTCTAATCGTGATTGTGGTGGTTTTCGCGCTGAGCACGTGCCGTTCGCATTCAGCTACGTATATAATTATGTTTATCTCGCGAATTGCCGACTCGAAGGCTTCAGCCAGAGAGCCTCTTAGCCGCGAAAAGCTTTTTTGCTCATTCTACAAAAAATACGGCGAACGCGTGAGTAGGGAACTTTTTCCCTCTTATATGAATGAATTTGTTCGTGTTATGCCTCGATTTTCAACTCTGACACACTGTGCAGTTATTCGATCAGCCTCGAACGCGAGTTCTTCGCGCATTTTTTATGGGTTCTTAACTTCTGACCACATGCACTCTGTATTGCGAATTGTGCCAAAACACGGTTTCGCCAAACTGTTTTTTTCGTTCTTGACAGGCGAAAGAATCCCCTAGAACTATTATTAGTTTTTTTTATTTTGACGTCATCGGTGGCTCAAAGGTTTGCACTGTGGACGCTGGACGAAGAGGTCCCGGTTCGATTCCCGGTGGGAATTCGGGGAATAAATTTTTCTAAATTGTATCGAGTTCTTAGGTTTTCTCGATTGTTGTACATAGGAATTGAAAGTATTTTTGTGGTTTGTTTGAAAAAAGAAATGTACTCGATTTATACAATAATAAAGCGCACACACTTATAGCCCCGCACTAGGGAAAAGGGAAACTCTGTATCGCGATACAGAGTTTCCCTTTTCCCTAGGGCCATGGACACACACATAGGCGACCACAAATTATACCCAAACTCACGAGAGAAATAAATGTAAGCCATACAAATATTTCTGCCGGGCCGAGAACCGAACCGGGGATCTCTGAATGGCAGTCCAGCATGGGAACCGTTCGGCCACGGAGGCAGTTGATCCGAAATAATCTCAGTACAGAGTACTAATAAAACCGACCTCAAAAGATCGTGAAGTTACATCTATTTGCCAAGTTTTATTGAAATTGGTCACCGGAAAGTGCGCAAACCCGGATTCATCCCCTAGTTCGCCACTAGATTTAATACAGGAGATAATAAAAAATCGGTGCTCACTGCTTAAAGTTGAGAGAAAAACGCCTTAAATTGGAGCAAACCAAAATCAGCCATTAAAATAAAATAGTTTCAATTTTTATATTGGTCCTGGTAGAATTCCATCAGGCAATCGGTGTAGTTAGTTGTCTGGCACTCATTATTTTTATTATATTTTTGTTGAAAAATATTTTAGATTAAATGTAGAACAAGAAACTAGCTGCATAATTCTAAGCATCGTCTTTTAACAGTACCATATATAGCACCTGACTTGGCCGAAATTTGACTTAATGTGTTAACTCATGTTCGTAGCGCCCGTTCCTAAACTAGGTAGGTAGGGTAGCCCTTTACTCGTAGAGGACTATGCATTATTCATCGAGCCCAAATAGCGTCACACTACGTAGTTGCGTGGCATACTTAAATACCTACAATACCCTGCCACTGAATGGCGAATGAGTTGAAGAATTTCATTAATATATGTATGTATATATATGTATTCTCATAATAAAAGCGGACGTTTTTTTAATATTTTAATTTAAAATACAAATTCGCTCAGTTTTAGTTCCAATGTTTTTTTCTCTTATCAAACTACTGGAGATGGACGATCCTTCGTATAGATGGTTGGGGAATCCCATTATAATGGAGGACATTAACCATTTGTTTTACTTTGCTATTTGCCAAAGCGAAAATACGTTTTCACTTTTGTAAATATGTTTCGTACAAGCGACCGAAAGTGGTGCTTTTAGGTTGTACGGGACTAATTGGTTTGACTTTTTAAGAACAGAAAACAAATGCTTTTTAACCGTCTTAAAAAAAATGGAGGAGGTTCTCAGTTCATCTTTTTTTGCGTGTATGTTACGTAATCACTTCCACATCTGTGAACCGATTTCAATGATTCTTTTTTTGTTGAAGATAACATTCCGCCTCTAACAGTGACAAATGAAGTGCTGAATACGGTTTATTGAATTTGAAGATGTAATTCCACTGAAATTTAATTAAATTATTGTGGTAGACAGATACCAGGAACTCCTCAGCAGTGTACAGCAGCTACCTGGTATTTGGGCTCACATGATTCGTTTTGACGAGGACTTGCGTATGCATTTCAGTCGACGTTAAGTAAAGAACATAGCAACAACGGAGATCGGTTTTTTATTATAACAAAAGTTAACATTATAATAAATAGGTGCCATGTCATGCGCAATTATTATATCTCTGTTCTCCATGGATAAGTATTATATGGGGGAATGTTTGGTCATTTGTTGCGTAATGACGAATTTGAGAGAGTGATAATTGAGGGGAGAATAGTAGGGAAAAGAAAGAGAGGAAGACCAATAATGGCGTATATTGAAAAAGAAGATCAAAGTGAACAGCTATAAAGAGGTGAAGGAACTGGCTATGAACCGTGAGGAGTGGAGGAGGCTGCACCGACAAGAGTCTGGCTCATGAATAAGATGATGATATTATGTATGAATGAAAAAATAACGGTAACGCAAATACAAAGCAAATTAATTTATTATTAAGTAACAAACAAAGTCTCAAATACTATGATTTTGAAAAGTGTTTTTAACGCTGTTGATAAACCAATTAATTGTGCTTACGTTCCTGGTACGCCAACGTACAAAAATCTTCTATAAATAGTTTTATTTATTCCTCGTCTTAGACAAGTTTACTTGAAATATTGCTCGGCTAAAATGCCGATCAACTTGCGGTATACTCTCTTTGTTAAGATGGATGTTTGAGGCGCGGAAAAAGTAAATATTATGAGTGGTCTCGCTTTCACTCTGGAAAGATTTCCTCCGATTTACATTTGACTATAAATTTTAGAAAGTTGAGGGCCGTCCTCACTTAATCCGGCTTTAACTGGAGCGAGTAAAGATCTTGGAATATTCTGTGTTTAATCTAAACATTTGCAATGCTTTTTACTTTCGTCTCATTTGAATTTTGCTGTCATGATGCCTAAAAAGATATTGTTATACTTAAGAAACTCTCCTATAAAGCAAGCCTATTTTAATTTCTTGAATTCATTTATGCTTGAAGTTTAATTGCGTCAAATACCAAATAATGCATTAAAACAAATTTATTTATTTATTTGAACTTTTGTACAATACACTGAAGTATTATTATTGATATTAAAAATAAACATCCTAATTTCAACAGGGAAAATAGTTTTTCCGTACCACAAGTTTGGGATCCAGTATCTCCTGTGATGAAAAACCTCAAACAGACGTAAGACTGCAGTACTAATTAATATGCTTTAATTTATTCTAATTAACATTAATAAATTTAAGTTAATAAAAAATCATATTGTTAAAATAAAATAATTTGTAAAACGTAATTAATGTAGCGAAAATTGGAATGTTTCTTTGTAAATTTAAAAATAAGGTATTTAATTAATAGCATTTCTAACTATAGTGAAAAAATAGGGTGGTTTGCATTGATATTAGACTGGTAGATGACTTTACCACCTCAGTCAACCGTGACCATGGGACTTGTAAAGGGCCCGAAACGTTGGTTTGTTTAAAAAAAACAAATATACGCGATTTAAATCCGGAAAAATATTTTCATTTCCTGTGTGTAACAATCGCGAAAACCTAAGAACTCTATTTAGACTGCTAAATATTTTTATCCACCATTTTGTCCAGAATTTAAATATAAAGCAGTAGAGAAAGAACCAGCAGAGTAGCAGAACCAGGAGAGTTCGTCTAGGGAAATACTGCCTTACCTTACCTAATTCTGCCTACAAACGGTAATGTGAGCATTACTGCGTTTCGGTTGTAAAGGGTAAGGTTGCTGGTGAAATTACAGGCACATGGGACTTGTCAACTTATGTTTTAGGGTAACGGGCGCAGTGGCAATGCCCCTCAAATCTTTGCGATTTAAAGCTCTGAGTGGCCCTGCAACTGGATAGGCGTGCCGATCACCACCAGGTGCACGACT